ATATATATATATATATATATATATATATATATATATATATATATATATATATATATATATATATATATATATATATATATATATATATATATATATATATATATATATATATATATATATATATATATATATATATATATATATATATATATATATATATATATATATATATATATATATATATATATATATATATATATATATATATATATATATATATATATATATATATATATATATATATATATATATATATATATATATATATATATATATATATATATATATATATATATATATATATATATATATATATATATATATATATATATATATATATATATATATATATATATATATATATATATATATATATATATATATATATATATATATATATATATATATATATATATATATATATATATATATATATATATATATATATATATATATATATATATATATATATATATATATATATATATATATATATATATATATATATATTGATATAGATAATAATGTATGCCTTTAGTGATTTCCTGAAGATGAATACCAAAAAATAATGCAACTGGATTAAAAACAGCAGTTGCCATGGTCGATCTCATATGAAGTAAAAGCTTGCAACAACATACAGTATGATGATGTGTGCGGGTGCTGTCCCATTTCTTAGGGGTAAATTTTGAAGCCCTTCCCATTCATACTCTGTTTTAAGGCCCAAGGAGAAGGGTTAAGGGTAAAAAATTAAATCGGGATTGGCCCTCTTATTATGTGTGCCTGTGCTATATTTGATACACAAAATTATATATATTTAGTTTAAACAAATGACATACAGGGCTGTTAAATGGTCTCTAATAACAGCATTCAATTGCTAACAAATGGTCTAAGCCTCTATTATCCTCCAGAGCACTGAGTTAGATTCATAAAAAATTACTTTTAGACACAAACAAAACTCTCACAAATATATTTAAATACACCAAACACAAAGGGGGTGTAAATTTTGTGTGTAGGTGTTTTGTGACATATCAGGACACAAATCTGTATAATGACATGGGTATAACACGGGTATTACAAAAAGGAGGTGAAATATGAGGATATTGGTGACGTCCTCATTTCTCAAAATGCTTATAAATCACACAGGATGAGTTTAACCAGAGAGTAAAGCTGCACACAGTCTCCTGTGATGGTTGGGTTTAGGGGTGGGGTGGGGGCGATACAATTTAGGGTTTGGACAGTATAAAATGAATGGAAACTTATGTAATGTACCCACTTTTCACAAAAACAAACATGTGTGTATGCTGTATACACTGTAAGACCCAACAGTCAACTTTATCAAATGAAATGAGTGTAGTTGACTCAAAGCTTACTAAAAAACAATTCTACTCATTTGAAAAGAGTTAATAAAAAACATCATTACTTCAACTTAAATGGATTAAGTTCACAGTACTCAGAGTTAGTTTTTGCACTTAAATGGTTTGATTTACCTGAACTTTTTGGGTTTTACAGTGTGCATGTATGACAGACACCAGGGGCCCCTACATTTTGCGCTAAGCCACTGCTAAAACTTATATAAAACTGTGTATATATGCTACTCAAAGTTGTTCATTCATTAACTTACTTTTCGGCTTAGTCCCTTATTAATCTGGGGTTGCCACAGTGGAAGGAACCGCCAACTTATCCATCATATGTTTTACACAGCGGATGCCCATCCAGCTGCAACCAATCACTGGGAAATTATCCTGATTAATCACATTCAAAATAAATGTTTGTTTTGCTCATAATTTAAGTGTGTGTGCTGTGAATATTTCTTATGTTATGTGTTTAAATGATCATATTTATATTATATTTATATTATTATATTATATTATTGTTATTTTATATATACACACGTGCATGCATATATTTGAGAAACTTTTTATATTTAGATATGAAATATGTGCGCATAATGTGATACAAACTAAATGTAAATTTAAACATATTATTATAATATATACGTTTTATATTGGGGACGTCACAGTGGGTGACACGATCGCCTCACAGCAAGAACGTCGCTGGTTTGAGTCTCGGCTGGGTCAGTTGGCATTTCTGTGTGGAGTTTGCATGTTCTCTGTCCATAAAACTGTTCGTAGTATATGAGTTTGTGTGTATGGATGTTTCCCAGTGATGGGTTGCAGCTGGAAGGGCATCCACTGTGTAAAACATGCTGGATAAATTGGCAGTTCATTCCACGGTGGCGACCGCTGATTAATAAAGGGACTAAGCCAAAAAAATAAATTAAAGAATGAGTATTATACAACAATATTACTAAAATTACTGAAACTGTATAAATATTTATTTACACACACTTGCAGAACTAAATAAATAGTCTCGATGATAAGTTTAAAATCTGCATATAGCAGAAATGTAAATTACAAGTGTCAATTGCATCGTACAAAAAAACAAAAAAAAAACAAAAACAAACATAGAATAAAAAAAAAACATCATAAATATAGATGTTTTGGGAGTGTGTTCCCTACTTGTATTTGTCATCAAATGACAGGAAAGATTGCCAGATTGCATAACATTTCTGGCATGACTCTTAAAGTGAGTTACAGGTTGTTGTTTTTTTATCTCCATAGGTGTAATGTATTTTATACAGTAAAAATTTTTATTAAATTGATATATTTATCATTTGAAGCAATTATTAGAATATTATTAAATTATTATTAAATAAATACTAAATGCAGAGTTTTAACATTCTAACATTCTAACTCCATTAGAATTTATCAGACAAAATAGCTTTACGAAAACAAATCCAGCAAAGATTTGGATTGTGTTGAAAAAGTTAATTAGCCTAACCTTTGTATAACAATTTATACATAAACAAAAATTGCCAAGACATTTCCGATGTTAGCAGCTTTTTTTGTATTGATTTTGATATTTCTTCTGTCAAACTGTTGAAGAGCACAATATCTGAGATTGTATTAATATTAGAACCGTTTTTAATTCCCCCGATAGTCTATAAAATCCCTGAATGTACCGGTTCTGTTGACTATATTTTTTGTATTTTGTATTTAACTAACTAAATAACCGTTAAAGCATGAATAACCGTCGTATCATTTAAAACATTAACTTCCCGCGCACGATTAAAACAACAGCTCTGAACTCACCTGAGAACAGACGCGAAGGATAAAAGCCGCGACAGCTAGCCGTTGTGAAAAGGCAGAAATCTTCATTTACAAATCTTCTGGAAGCAGAACTCGATGTAAATATGGTAAAGTGACTGTTTTACTGGTGTAAAAGTGTCCGGGCGCTCGGTCTCTGTGGAGGAAAGTTTCATCTCCTCCTGCCGCGCAAACCGCTGAACCTCCCGCGACTGAAGAAGAAGAAGAAGATCCTCATCTCAGAAAAGAAGAAACCTCAGGAAACAACATCTCCGTGAGTCTCAGGTGTGTGTCTCCCAGCACAGCCTCTCTCTCTCTCTCTCTCTCTCTCTCTCTCTCTCTCTCTCTCTCTCACACACACACACACACACACACACACACACACACACACACACACACACTCGCTGGAGGAAAATATGATCGCATCATCAGAAAAAAAAACTCCTGTAAGTGCACTTTAACAGCGACACAGTTGGGTCACGGTGTAAATATACGTTTAGTCTGCATTTTCTGAAACTACTAAACTGACATGAATAATTACTTAAAGTAAACACTAATCTTGTTGAATCATACAATAGTAAAGTGTATTATACTGTACTGAGGTAAACTGTTTTTTAAATTCGCAAATTCAGACTTTTCTTTTACAAAGTATTCTTTGAAAACCCAAAATAATATTATCAGCCAATGATTGCCCATGTTGTTTTGAAGTCATACTTCAAAATATGGGATATTCAAAGTAGCGCTTAGCAAGTGTGGTAATATGAAAACAATTTTACCTCAATTTATTCTGTAGCCTACATATTACAGTATTTACAAATTGTTAATAAGGAATGCTCCAACAGCATTAACTGATGAACTGATAAGCTGTAATAAATACTGCAGTATACTTTAGTCTTTACTATTGTAAAGTGTTGTGTATTTTAGTATATTAGAAAACTACAATGTAGAGGTCCGGAATCTACGTCACGGCGAGTTGCTGTCAGCCATGTTTGTAGAAAAACACGTCAGTGCTCAATGTAAACAAAAAAGGATAATCAAAATCAAATACTATTACTATAACGCCACAATGCCGTTTTATCGTAATATCTTTCGCTAAACGACACACAAACACTCCGAAAAAAAAAAAAAACCTTTATTCAACTCAAGCTCATTCTGAAAACGTAGGATGTTTCTGGAGGCCGCGATTTATGTGGCCGGAGGTACGTATGGCCGCATTTCGTTTTTTCAAGCGAACGCCACATTAGTGAAAGGCGTTCGAGATGCAAAAAAGCGCACACAGCAACCTCTCGCGGATTCCCGAAAACAAAAACTGCACAAATATGTACCTCCCGGGACGTATTTTGTGGTCTCCAGAAACGCCCGCAGGGCTACGTTTCCAGAATGAGCTTGGGATTTTTCCTCTATTTGCTGGGTGCCATCATGCATTCACAATGGTATGAGCCATCATGGGGGATATTTTAGTCATTTTCTTGTCGGCTTAGTCCCTTTATTAATTTGGTATCGCCACAGAGGAATGAACCGCCAACTTATCCTGCACATTGTTAGGTAGTGGATGCCCCTCCAGCTCCAACCCATCTCTGGGAAACATCCACACACACACACACACCACGGACAATTTAGCCTACCCAATTCACCTATACCGCATGTCTTTGGACTGTGGGGAAAACCAAAGCATCTGGAGGAAACCCACGCAAACGCAGGGAGAACATGCAAACTCCACACAGAAACGCCAACTGAAACGAGGTTTGAACCAGCGACCCAGCGACATTCTTGCTGTGAGGCGACAGCACTACCTACTGCGCCACTGCGTCGCCATGAAGGATCATGTTTATATTTATTTTAACTTATTATTACAATTATTATTATTATTATGATTTCATTCACTAATTTTCCTTCAGCTTGGTCCGTTTATTCATCAGGAGTTCTCTATTCCAGCATATGTTTGACACAGCCAGATATACAGGATGATGCACGCGGGATTAGCCTGTCACTGGTAATGAAATATAATGATATATAAATAGGACTCATAAAACAGTTCGTTTCAGTCCATATATTAAATAGACAGGTTAACAGCATTATCATATCTCTCTGCTTTCGTCTGTGTTTCTTCCAGTCAGACTGACACACTCTGGGGTTTTTTATATGTCAACAGGAGGCAACAAGTCTTCATTGAATCATTCACTCTGTAGTGTTTGTTTTGACATTTTTTTGCATCTGCTGCGTTTGGATTGGCTCAGTGTGTTGCTTCAACTACAATATTAGCCACGCCCCTTATTTACCAAGAAAAAGGAAGAGAAAGCCCCGCCCCCTTCGTTTCAGTTGGAAGTACATCGACATGCTGAAATAAAAGTCATCGCAGCTTCTGATTTACAAAGATGCATACACATTTTATTATGTGCAGATACTAACACAATCTCATGGCAATTCGTAACTTTTTTAATTTAGTGGCTAATTCGTATGAATTCGTATGATCTAATTCGTACAATTCAAGGCTGATTTATACTTCTGCTTTGACGTGCACATCAAAAAATGTAACTGTACGTCGCAACGACGCGTAGCGCAAGCTCTGTGATTGGTCGACTTGGTATCGCTGACAAGTCTGGGCGGGACTGAGAGCCGCATGAATGATGTGAGCCTGATGGAGCGATTGTTTACAAGTGTGGAGTCCTGTGAAGAAGCTCCGGATGGAAAGTTTTGTTTTGTGTTTACCTCATAGTTAAAGTTGTTGCACGTCCGCCGGTTCCTGCCTCAAAATGAGCGAGTTTGAGCTACTTGTATATCCCGGAAGTGTTCAGGAAAAGCAAAACAACAGCGAAGAAACTCGACACGGAGGAGCATTAACACCTCACTGCCAACTAGTGTTTTGGAAGTGTTAATGCAGACCCACAGAGACAGCGCGCAGAAGTATAAATGCACAGCTACACGCGTTGCATGCGCCGTGGGTTACGCCGGTCACCTGGCGCAGAAGTATAAACCAGGCTTTAGTACGATTTGCTCATCCCCCAATGACGGTTGGGTTTAGGGGTGGGGTTAGGTGCTACGCCCCTTATAAAATCGTACAACAGAACTCGTACAAATTCGTACGAATTAGCCACTAAACTGGCAAAACGTAAAATACTTACGTTTTCTCGTGAGATCAGGCTGGTACATACATGTATATGGATCAAGGGAGATACATTTATACAGTTTGAGAAACTTGCTGTCTTGAATTCCTTTATATATCAGTTTTCAATACAATTTGAGAAAAAGTACAAACGTTTCTGTGGCTCATTAGCTGTCACGATTGCTAGGCGATGAGATCAGTTGCTGTTGTGTCTCTGTGGATTATTGCCGTTTTGACTGATTAAAGATTAACTTTTACCTTCATCTCCATGCACTTGTGTTCTGTACAGCAGCCAAGCGTTACGGTTTTGCTCTGAATATCAGCAGATATACAGTGCTACACTGTGAAGTGTCCTCTTTATCTTTGGCTCATTTCAGCAGTATTTCCTGTCCTACAGGAAGTGCTGAGTTTGATTGAAAACACTGAGGCTGCGTCCCAATTCACCTGCTTATACTACATAAAAATGATGTATGCCTCAAGGTTGGACGTGTTGTGTGTTCAGAGATGCTCTTCTGCAGAGCTCGGTTGTAACGAGTGCTTATTTGAGTTACTGTTGCCTTTCTATCAGCTGGAACCAGTCTGGCCATTCTCCTCTGACCTCTGGCCTCATCAGCAAGGCATTTGCGCCCACAGAACTGCCGCTCACTGGATATTTCCTCTTTGTCGGAGCATTCTCAGTAAACCCTAGAGATGGTTGTGCATTAAAATCCCAGTAGATCAGCAGTTTCTGAAATACTCAGAGCAGCCCGTCTGGCACCAACAACCATGCCATGGTTAGAGTCACTTGAATCCCCTTTCTTTCCCATTCTGATGCTCGCTTTGAACTGCAGCAGATCGTCTTGACCATGTCTACACCAATGACTGTAAAAAATATGGACGACGCGACAGCCCCTTTTCCCATTGAACGCCTTGAGGGCAAAACGCCTGCTTGACGGGCACAAACTGTCGCAAAAGACTGCTGAAATTGGAGCCTTGACATGCGCAGAAGGACTGTCTGATGGAGCCAGAGGAGGAGCCGCGAAAATGAGCGGAGTCGAGCTTCCAACCAAACGCTTTATGCAAAATCAACCACGCCCCCCGAACTGCTCAGCATGCGTTTGCTGTCATATCAACACAAATGGATGTAATAACGTTAACAAATATGAGGGTTTTATATATTTAATCGCGCAAGCTCCGGGCCGCAGCGCATATCCTACTCGCGGCGTCGCGGGCTGATTCCGGCTCGCATGCGGCAGCGCCGGCTCGCTCGGCCGCCGCGTCTGGCTCGATTGACTCGGGCTGGAATCGGACGGGCAGTGAGTCCAGGCATCCGGAGTAGGTCCAGCAGAGGTAGTCAGTCTGAGCTCTGAGGGGTAAGTCTCCGGCAGGCGAGAATCTAGCCGGAACTGGCCCGAGTGTATTTTGCTATCTGGGTGGTTAGGCGTGTATCAGCAAACTAATAACGCCCGAAAAAAGCCCTGACCTTAGCGAATAAACAGTGTTCCACCAGATCATGTGTGTCAGAAACTGTAGTTTACTGCTGAACTCATGTTGTCATGGTAAAATAACACAGAAATCGAGTAATAACACTTCAGTATCCTGCCGAAGCTCAGACGCGCTGCTTTGAGAAACTGTCAATCACGATGACACGCCCAGCATTAAATTACTGCTAAAAACAAACTGATTACAAAAATGAAGATCTGCACCTATTTCAGCACAATAATCAGTGCCTTAATCGACCAGAACCATCTTTCGGGACATTTTATTGCAAGTTAATACATTTTTTTATTTGGGCTCAAGTCTCCTTCATTAACACGGAGGAGGCGGGCTTTATGACTTGTACTGCAGCCAGCCCCCAGGGGGCGATCTAACGGCCGAGACCTTCACTCAAACGCAGGATTGCGGCACACTTGGTCTACACGCCTAAATGCATGTTGCTGCCATGTGATTGGCTCATTAGAGACCTGCGTTAACGAGCAGTTGAACAGGTGTACCTAATAAATTGGCCGGCGAGTGTATATCTACTAAATGTGAATTTTGGAGCGCTCTAGTTTACAGATAACCATAAAACTAACATTACCGACATCCAAAAAAAATGTATTGAATATTCACAGGACATTTAAACAACCAATGAATCCAAGATTCCCTGTCCTGTGTTGGGGAAGTGGAGAGTTTCACACATGTAAGCAGATTGAGATGAAGCCTCATTTCTCC